CATTTTATCAGTCTTCCCTTAGACAGCCACAATGGTCTTCAAACCAGGCATCCATCATTGCCTGCCCCTCCCATCCACTGTCCAACACATAATCAGAAAGATATTTCTACATTATAAATCTGCTCACAACTCTTCCCTGCTGAACACCCTTCACTGGCTGGGCAAGATCGTTAGGAATTGCACAACGGTGACCCAGGAGCCATGCTCTGCTATTTAGGCACACTACTTGGCCCACAAAACTAAAACGCTATGTTTTTAAAATTCTGAATACTGGTAGAAGGGGAACACACTGTCCAGTTCCAGAGTCCCCTCTCTTGTCATCTATCCGAGCGGCCTCACTCTTTACATTGCTGGTCTAGTTCGTGGATGGATCCTTGATCTCATGGATCAAGTTCTGAGCACAGTATACAAAGCCTTTCCTGATCTGACCCTGCCTGCCTTTGCTAATCTCATTTCGTGCTTTTAACTCAGGTCTGCTGATGCCAAGGCTCATGTTTATCTACTACACCACACTAATTAATGTTACTTCTTTGAATCCCTGGGCTTATGGAATGTGAGAAGTAAATGTGATGATAAATGCAGCAACAGACTCAAATTACAAGGAAGGAGTGTGTGTGGCGTAGGGGTGGGTAAAAGGGAGAGGGAGACAAAACTAGTGAGCAAAGAAAGTCATGTAGGCTGAGGCAGCTGAGTGCTTGAAATATAGATCATGCAGCAGTGCCTAGGTTCCATCCTCATTAAAATGATAGTAAAGTCTTAGAGTCTGTTTTTTCCCCCTTCCCAGCAGGTTGGCAGTCATTCAATTATACTGTAATTCTGTATTGCAGCTCACTTCACTTCAAGCAGTTCATCTCAATTCTGATCATTATGTTCAAATGCTTACTCTACCCAGATGCCAAGTTTCCTCCACTGGACAAAAGCATAGCAGAAATATTTCTGTTTGGCAAGGCCTGGCAAATTTCTGGAGACATTGTCATGCCATGGCAGAGCGCTAGTCAGGTTGCAATTTGCTTTAATTGTTCTTCCCACAAACAGCAACAATGATTACCTCTAGGTCATTGACACTCAAAGAAGGATTTCTTCATAGCCACTGTAAAAACCAAAACACTTTCTGTCAACACCTTACTCAGGATTAGACCACAAAGAATCCGGGATTCTGACCACTCAGTGTATTGATTTGGTACATGGTTTTTAATGGGTTAAAGTCACACACTTGCCTACGTATCTGTGTATGCAGATTAGAAACAAGGAAATAACTCAGAGAAATCACTGGTCTCCCATAAAACAACCAGTGTTCTATACGCATAATTTGTTCCACCTGCCATGTTTACAAGGCACCCCAAGGAGAACTAGCTTAAAACCCAGCAATCCATCTGCCTCCCAGTTCTGAGGGGCACTTAGTGCCTCAAACTAAGCAAAGAAGGATGCACAGCAGGCTGCTAACCATGTCAGGTGACTGATGTATGTGACTGAGTTACCCAGGTCATCAGCTCTTCAATAGTGGCTGCAGTCCTGGCACGATGACACACACAGTTAATGACCAACAAAATAAGGGAGAAAAATGGACAAAGACCTACATTCAGTGGGCCACATCCAGGACACAAATCATAAATACAGGTTTTATCACTTCTCATGGGCATGTGAAAACAAGAAATATGGCACAGGGGCTTTGGGGGGAAAAGATAAGGCGACTGTATGCCAAAACATTGATTAAAAAAATGATTAAAAATAAAAGAGGGGACGCAAAAGCAGATGTTTTGTTACTATTAACGGTACTTCCTTATTGTGTTCCTTTTTTAAAGAAAGCATTAGTTAATATTTACTAAAAATAAAACGCCTGGCTTCCAACATGTACAATATAAACTTAACTGTGCCCAACTCAGGCTACAGTGAGTAAGACTGAATACAAACTGTAAGAAATAGACTGTTTTATTATAACAGGAGAATGATGTTGGAGGACAGTGCAAAAAAACACATGCATATCTTCAAAAAAATTCTGCTAATAAGCTATTAAAAGAAGAGCTCTTTGGGGACACACCCCAGATGAATGGCAAAAGGTCACATACCACTCCTTCCCTCTGAAATGAGATAGATACAACATACAAATTAGCATATAGAATATCAAGTTATTCCATGTTCCTTGTCAAGGCTCTCCCATGGGAAGGAAGGGGGGAAGGCAGTGGCATGCAGGAAGGAACAGAGAAAGTAGGTGAAAATGGACAGGTCACTTTGAAAACAGTTCCCAGTCTTTTAATTTCACAGATCAATAAAATTAAAGGAAAAACATGAGGGTGAGGGTGGAGAACCTATCAACTATCACGATCTTTTGTTATAATACAATCGTAGGAAAGCCAGACTCTCAAAATAAAGGATAAGCCTTTATATTAAGTAAATTCAACTTTGTGTAAACTCACAACATTATCTTTCTTTTAAAAACTGAGCATCTTAGAAGGAACATATGCTCTTCATAATTAATGCCTTTGGTACAGATTTGGGGAAAGTGTCTCTAGCTTGCAGTTTTGAAAAATGTAATTTTCAAATTAAATTGCATTGTGTTTGAGTAACATCTTCCTCTGTCGTTTCATTACCAGATTGTAACAATTCCCCTAACTCTGCATGTCTCCTTTCACATTAGTGAATGTGATGATTTATAAAGAAGACAGGCTAATGCAGTAGGATCACTGTAAGGTTATAAAGCTAGGGTGGTAATAGACGGCTCTAAATAAGTTCAGTTTCATTCTAGCAGAGGACGGCATCTGTAATGTTTTCAGGTACCCTGGTCTCTGACTTAACTGCCATGATTAAGCCACCAACACATATTCTGGCCTTACTGTCAAAGTGGCTGGATTAAAACCAGCTATTTCCCCCTGCTGGCTGGACTGTTTTACATTCTCTACCTCACTGCCTGCAGCTTTAATGCTCCCCACAGAACCAAACCCATTTATTTCTCATCCACAGACTGACCTCCTAAAGCATCATTAACACACCCCCAAAGGCCTTGTTCCTGTCAATTTTAGTCAGCACAGCACTCAGAGCAGCCATGGGGTTTGCAAGGCTTCGGTAGGGAAGAAAAAGGCACCAACCCAAAGCTTGGGGAATCACCAAAAGACAGGAGAATGAGGCCCGGGAATGAGGGGGACTCCTATTAGGAGACTGGATGCAAAGCTTACAATGGAAAGGTAGCTTTTAGGCACTTATAATTAGTAGCTTCTGCCACTCAATTCTCAGCTCATTAATGGAAGATGGATCAATATCTACTTTCGATTTTCATGTACAGCATTATGGCCTTGGTGGGAGACAGGTCTCCTAGGAAGGAAGGGTGACCCAGGAAATGGGTCTTGGAGAGAGTGATTCATGACCAAAATTAATAATTTTATTTGTTTGCCAGTATTTTCTAAAATATGTTTGGAATTTTTGTTTTGATTTGACTTTTTTTTTTCTTTCTGGTAACACTAGTCATCCTGAAGTCAGTTAAAGAGAAAATGATTATGTGGCGAGAATATCAGGATAAAGGTGGACTTCAGTTATGTACACAAGCCATGTCGGGTTCATCCACACTTGACCAGAGTGATTCCTGAGTTTCAAATGGAGTGAAAGTAAATAGCATTACACTCTGCAAATATGACTTCAGTTTCTGAGGCTCTAAACTGCTCCAGTTTGTCAGTTTTCCTTTTGTTTCCTTCCTTATCAAGCAAACCGTCCGTGGGTTTCCATTTTAAACTAGATTCATATCGTTCCAGCAGCAATAAATAAGTTTTAAAATATAATATGTTGATAGAATGTTTTTGCAGAACCATGCAGATAATCTGAGGCTTTACAGAAACAAAATAAAAAACAGCACAATATTACGATTCTATAACTTATGGATGGAATTCTTTTGTGAAGGTATATAAATCCAAAGCTGCAGTTTTAAAAATTCCTTGAAAATGTAGTTACCACTACTAAATAGAACGAAATGTTGTATTCTGCTAAATGAAGGCATTAATCGTAGCATCTTGATTCACATGTCCCTTCTCATACATGGGTCAATCTTCGAATTACATTTTCCTAAGTAAGTTCTAAAAATTATCCGCTATGAAACATTCTTCATTAATCATAAGACAGTCACTCCTTTAAAGTTTACCCAAATTCCTAATACTTCGCCAAGAATTCAAGTCTTTCTAAGTCATGTGCTTCAAGGTGTATAACAGGCTCTGTCAAGTGATATTGGTGGCACCTTCAGAAGCTATGAAGAGATTTGTGCTTTTCCCAAATACACTCAGAACTTTAAGGAACTTCCTAATCATGTGCCTAAACTGATATCCCTACTTCATCTTATTAAGAATCATCATTTATTAAGCACCTCTGTAAGCCAGGCACTGGTCTAGGAGTTCATTTAGGTACATGGTCTCGTTCAACCCCACAGCAACCCTACAAGGTAGGTATGACTCTTCCATTGTATGGATGTCACAACTGAGGCTTACAGAGGTCAACCCCAAGGTGACACAGCTTGTAAATGGTGGAAAGGCCAGGGATTCAGCTGAGGCCTGGAGGATTACATAGTCTGTGCTCTTCTCCTCTTTCTAAACTATACGGCCAGTCCTGGGGCGTAAACCTCCTTGATCTTGAGGGTTTCAGAGTTGCTTTATCTTTGGGAGTTCCATAAATAGAAGCCCACAGGCTTATAAAGGCTGCTAGTATAAAATGCAAGCTAATACGTTTTCCAGATTTAACAAAGGAACACATTTTTTTGAAACAGCCCATGTATTTAACAGGAATACATTTTTTCAAACAAGAACTCTGATTTTTACATTGTAAATTATAAACTAGAATCACATTAAAATGAAGTTCCACTGGGTTGAGCCATATGAAACTGTTGTATTTGTAGGTCAGAACAGTGAAAAAGGTGCAACAACAGAAGTCTAGTTCTAGGCTCTATGGGGCCCGATTCAGGTCCACTCATAATACACTGGCCTGGCACACACTTTGTGCCTGTATAGGGCCTCCCATGGATACTGTACCTGAGCAGAAGCTGTTGCTGCTAATGGTCCTCGCTGAGCGCCCAGAGCTGCTGGGGTTGAACTCTCTGCTCTCTTCCTCAGAGAAGGGAGACTCCGAGGCCGGGGACACTTTGTG